CTGTTCTTTTACGTAACTAAATTATTTTTATTTCAATAAAAAATCAAATCGACGGTGGGGGTCGGTGGGCAAGTGACGTAACCGGTGTTGCGGCTTAACACCGGTATAACCGTCAGCACCGTCTATCGCGGCAAGCCTACTAGGGACAAAATTAAATAGAATAAAATAAAATCAGTAAAAAATAAAATAAAATAAAATAAGAAAATAAAAATAAATAAAAACAATAACAAATAAAATAAAAAAGTTAATTAAAAAATAAAATAAAATAAAATGTTAAAGGAGCTACAGGGTTTAAGGGCAACAATAGGCATCTGCATTTACATAAAGCTGCGAAAACCAAAGATATCTTGCACTAAATACGAAAAGACAGGATGGTTTCGGTGATGAAAGTTTCTTCAAAATATGAAACACTGACGAAACACTTTCTGTGAGCAGCATGTGCATTTCCTATGCCAAGGATCCTCAAAGAAAAACTCCTGTTGCTTTTTGTGTCCATATCGTCCCTCTCTCTTCAATCGTGAAGGTCCTCATCACTCCTCATCCAGCGGATGAACAGGGTGTGGGTTTATTTCAGTCCATCAGAATGTAGATTTGAGTCATCAGCTGTGAATTCACCTGATATTGAGCTTCTTTAAAGGCTCTGAACTACTGAAGCATGCCAAAAAAGCCTACACAGACCTGAGAAGCATATTCCTCTGCCTCAAATGATATAAATTAAAACAGGTCTGTGTTATTAAAGAAAAGAAAAGAAAAGAAAAGAAAAGAAAATTCAAAATTTGGGGTTGGTATGATTTATAATATAACGTTTTTGAAAGACGTGTCTTCTGCTCACCAAGGCTACATTTATTGAAATCAAAATTACAGTGAAAACTGTAAAAATGTGCAATATTATTATAATATAAAATAACTGTTTCCTATGTAAATATATTTTAAAATATCTTTTATTGCTGTGATCAAAGCTGAATTTTCAGCATCATTACTCCAGTCTTGTTCACCTGATCAGTAACCTCTCTTAAGTCATTGGTATAAATGAAGTCAAACTGCTGCTGCTTTCCTGTCAGCGAAATGCTGCAGTTCATAAGCGTGACTGCAAAGATGTTTAGATTCAGCAAACTAATCTAAAGAGAGAGATTGAGAGTGAGTGAGAAAGAAAAGGCAAGAGGCGATGCCAACAAACAACACGACCGCAGAGTCCTCTCTGGCAGGAGCAAAGCATTGTGGGTGGCCAACAGCAGCAATAACAGGCTGAAAAGCCTTCTGTTAGAGGAGTGGGAGAGAGAGAGAGAGAGAGAGATGTGGGAAGAGAATCATCTTGTGTAGTGATGCACACACACAGAGAGAGAGAGAGAGAGAGAGAGAGAAATGATTCCCTAGATTGTTTTTTCTCTTACATCCAACTTTTGTAGTCAAAGCGGACATATTCTCATATTCTGTGGTCTGAAAGCCAAGTAAGATATGTTAAAAAATTACATTGTACGCTATTTGTGTTGTTTGCTAGTGCAAAACTCACAAACACAATGCTAGGATGCTGTTGGTGGTTACCAGGGTGTTGCTATGCAATTGCTAAGGCATTCTGAGAGGTATTATTGCATTGCTATATGGTTGCTAGGGTGTTTAGAGTGGTTGCTAAGCTACTTATCGTTGGGGTATGACACATATACTCAAATTTAAGACCAATAATTATCATAAAATTCTTTATGATTCACTCTTTAACTTAATCTTACAGTAAATAACTGGATTTTTTTGAAAAACAAAAAAACTAAATCGTATTATTGAGATGCTTTTATATTTATATTATTTTTATATTATATTTGTCATATTTGTATATTAATATTTATTCATTTTAATATTTATATATATTGGATTTTTTCAAGAAACAATAATGTTTGTTTTGTATATTAATATTCATTTATTTAAATATTATTTTTGTAATTATTTATTTGTTAGATAAAGATTTAGTAATTTTATTGTTTGTCATTTTTATATGTACTTTTAAATATGCCTATAGAGTTTTTATTTTTTACTTTTTGTTATTTTAGTACATCAGCTAAATGAAACTTGGCAACTAGCAGAAATAAAATATGTTTAAGTTTTTTTATATATTTTCTTTAATTTCAGTTTAAGACACAAAAAATGTCTGTTTAGATATGAATATTTATTCATTTTAATTTTATTTTTAATAATATTTATTTTAATTTTCATTACAGTTTTAGTAATTTTGAAAAGAAATACGTTTTTTATATTTTATTTTATTTTAATTCATTTCAGTTTACTATATTTCAAGAAACAAAAATGTTTGGTTATATATTTATATGTTTGTTTAGACATTTATTCATTTTAATGTTATTTTTAATCATGTTTATTTGAATTTTTGTTACAGTTTTAGTCATTTTGAAAAGAAACAATTTACATTCTTTTTAGATATTTTAATTTATTTTAGTTTCAAGTATCAAAATCTTTTCATGGTTTTAGTTAACTATACAAACCCTGACTCGCAGGCATCAAAAGCACCAGTAAAGGCCACTAAAGGACAGGCAGCAGTGCATTTTGGGAATCTGAGAGCCTTTATTCACATATAAACCATCTATTCTGTTCCACACGTCCCGTCAAAGAAAGCCAAAACCTCAGCGTAAACGTCCTCGAATCCAGCGGCATCACAAAGCACACATGAGAAGCGTCCAGCGAAGACATGCAGTCACACACAAGGACTTTCCTCACATCAACAAAGCCCTGAATAACACAAAGCTTTTGCCTTCTTTCTCCCTCCTTTTCTTTCGTACAAGTTTAGACCAAGATATTTTCTTTTTTTGCCGTTTCTAAGCAACTGCAAATTACAACAGAGAACTTTTCCGATGAGGTCAAAGTCAAAACGTAAAAGAAAAAGAGTGGAAGTGCTTTAATGGATTAAAAGAGAAGACTCTAAATAAAGAACACGCAGACACAGAGTGTTACGTTTTACACACCGCCACGGCTGACGCTCTCACCGGCATTAACAGTCTGACTCGAGTGGAAAGTGTGAGCTGCTGTTTTCTCTGCTTTACGAGTCTAACGTCAGCGTTCTGTGTGTAACGTTTGCGCTAAACAACTAGAAGAGAGTCGGACAGTAACACTGAGACGGAGTGACTCACCGGCGGTCATTTCTGCGGCGACGAAACAGTTTTTTCGTGTGTGCGATCTCAGCTTCATTAGGCAGAGGAGGGAAAGCCTGCAGAAAGAAAGAGAAAATCACATGAGAAACGCCAAAACAAAAAGTCTGTACAGTTTGTATATAAGCGCGAACCTCAAGTACAAAAAAAAATTACATTTTGCAGAAATTTTTTAACATTTGTTAGTATATTATTTCAAGATTTTTATTATTTTATTTTCATGATAATTATGCACATGCACAAACTCTCATTCTTGTAATGTTTTGTTTTAATTCTCATTATTTTCAATGGTGATTTCAATAAATGTTTTATATAATTACATAAAAAATTATTTAATTAAAAATGTTGTACAACAACAACTAAAAAAATAATTTTATACAACAAATACAACCGGGATATAATATTTTTCACATATTTTTTGAAAATATACAGTATACACACATGCATTAACATTTTTGTGTATGATTTTTATATTAATTAATAATATATTCTTCATATATATTTTGTGCATGTATTAATTCTTAATGATTATTATATTAATGTAATTACATATTACATAATTATTACATATATTAATGTAATGTATTATACAAATAATATTAATATAATCTGTATATATAAGAAATACAAAATTATTAAAAGATGTATAATTTAAACAAACACATAAAATGTTTTAAAATACTTGGCAAAATACTCTACACACAGACACATTTTGTTTCAGAAATTATGCATGCATCTTTGTTGTATTTGTAAAAAAGTAACTGAGCTTTGTATTAATATTTTGCATTACAGTAATTTTGTCAGTTTGACATTTTTTATTATTTCAGGATCATTGCAATTTTTTTTTCATGATAATGATTGCACACCTCAGAAACTCTCATTACTGTAATGTTTTGTTTTAATTCTCATTATTTTCAATGGGGATTTCCATAACAGTTGTATATAATTACATTAAAAAATCTTATACAACAACAAATTAATTTTGGAAAACAAATACAACCAGGATTTTTTAAAATATTGTTTGAAAATATACAGTATACACACACACCATGCATTAACAATGTGTCTGTATGATTTTAATATGAATTAATTATATTCTTCATACATATTTTGTGTATAAATGATTATATTAATGTAATTACATTTTAATGTAATGTATTATACAAATATTAATATAATTTGTATATATTAATAATATAAAATTATTAAAATATTTATAATATAAATGAACACTTCATAAAAATATTTACAAATATTTGGCAAAATCCCCCCCCATTTTTCTTGTATTTGTAAAAAAATAAAAATAACTGAGCTGTGTATCACTATTTTGCATTACAGTAATTTGATCAGTTTGACATTTTTGATAATATTGTCATATATGACCCATTACTTAACAGTTTAGCAATGATTACAAATTCAATCAAATGCAGATGGTTAAAATCAAATCCCACCCTTCATCATTCATAATATTGTTTCACATGAAAGTACATGAAGATGTGAATGCAGATCTGTGTGTGTTTGTGCATGTGATTCAGAGCTCAGTCTGCATGAACATCATCTACAGACACACCACAAACTACAGATAAAGCTTTTCAGTCTCTCTTGGATACTACAGGAGGTTAAAATGCCATGGTTTATCGACAGGATCTGGGAAACAAGTTTTGGTGCATGATGGGTAATAAAACCCTACACTCTGACAACCTTCCATTTCACAGCATAATGGAACATTCTTGAGCTCTGAGCTGCGGTGGCAGCATCTACACACACACACACACACACGGTCCTCAGGGTTTCTCTTTCTAACCCTTCTGAGGCTCTGAAGCCAAAACCACTGTGCGCTGATTGGCTGTCTCTGATTGGACACAGATGTGGTGGGAGATTAGTGTAATTGGCTGCTTTTCCTCGTCGGCGTGGTAATAAGGGCTTCTAACGCTTAACCCCGCCCCCACACAGAAAGCCTGCCAGAGCCGGACACAGAGAGTCGCCAGCCATCACATTTATTACAAGAAACGACAAAAACAACCGAAACTTAAGAAAACACAACCGCAGGATGTATTCATGATGATAAAACATCACGTCAAACATCTGGCAGCAATACACACACTTGACTGGCTCAGACTGAAGTGAGAAACTGAAATGAAAAAAATGAAAATTGTCATTTTTGAGTTGTTTGATTTGTTACAAAACTGTATGACTTACCTTCTTCTGCAGAAACAAGCAGTGAATGTCTGAAGAATGTTCTGGTTTTTCTTTTACATAGAATACATTATTATGAGGAAAGGATATTGTAACAAATAACTTGACATTTCTAAATTCCCATGCATTCGAAAAACGTTACAAAAGCCAAAAATGATGCACATTTTATATATATATATATATATACAGTATATATATACACAGTATAGACAAGGGTGTAACTTTGGTTTGAGAAGTGGGGGGGCCACAAAATGGGGGAAAATGTTTTCGATTTGAATCCCATTTCCTGCATGTACATACATTTAGGGACTATGGTGATACAAAATCCAGGAAATAATTAAGTTGATTAATGATCAATTCTGCCAAAAAGAATAGTAGGCTACTAAACTATGTATAAGAAAAATGTCTTACTTTCTTTGTTTAATAGGGGCCGATCGCCAAGACTTGAGAGAATCATTTTATAAAGTCGAAAATGTTCACCATTAATGTTTTGAATAATGTTTAAATAATGTGAGACTCAATTTCCACTGTTAAACACACTTTTATTTCAAACTAACCGCTGTACCTGAAAATATAAAATAAATCACTTGTTGCACAGGACAGAATGTTCTACATCAGTGGTTCCCAGACAGTACCCCCTGAGGCATTTCTGCTTAGGCCTACCCCCTCTCTTTCACTTAGACTGCACCTTTTCCATTAAAGGACAATATTTGCCCCCTAAATTGACTTTCCAATGCATTTTTTATCTTTATAAGTAGAATATTAATGTTTAAAATAAAAAAAAATTCAATAGATTAATACAATGATGATAAAAAAAAAAGTGAAAAGTGATTATTTTAAATACTAAAACCGCCAGTAGGTGGCGGTAAGTCACTGTCTTAATGCGTGAGTCATCGAGTCATTTGTTCATTCAGTAACTAAGCAAGTGGCTGTATTTATAAATGAATCATTGAATCAATGACTTTCGCGAACGATTAGTTCACAAAACACCGCACAACTCAACATTTTGTTCGCGTACCCCCTCTGTCGCCTCACGTACCCAAGTTTGGGAACCACTGTTCTACATTAAATATTAAGCTAACAACAGTCTGTTACCTAGCAACAGTGTATGTTAACGTTAGCTCAGTCAACGCAGGCTAACATTAACAGGTGTAGACATTGTTAATGTCTATCAACTTTGTTAATGTCTATCAAGTCTATCAACTTCGTTTACCGTCTAAAATGAAACACTTTCTCACTCCAAAAACGTTAGAAATGGCTGTTCATGCGTTCGTTACGTCTCGTCTAGATTACTGCAATTCTTTATATTGCGGTATATCTAAATCTCAAATTGCGCGTCTTCAGCTTGTCCAAAATGCTGCGGCCAGACTTCTTTTAAAGTGTCGTAAACATGAACACATCACTCCAATTCTTAGATCTCTACACTGGTTGCCGGTTTGTCAAGAGAATAGACTTTAAAATTCTCCTCTTTGTATATAAATCCCTACATAACCAAGCTCCTGTCTATCTATCTGACCTTCTTTACTTCTAT